AGGTACCATTCGTACTGACGTAATCCTACTTTATAACATTGTATATGTACGAGGTACCATTCGTACTGACGTAATCCTACTTTATAACATTGTATATGTACGACACATCTGATATATAGATATCAGTCAGAAATTACAAATAGCTGTGTCAGTGTAGTAAACACGGAACAAACAAATGGAATATTCCATTATGAGATCAACACGAGGGGCCAGTCTATATGTGTGTGGTGTTAACAGGTGTACAGAAGTGAAGAGTGGGGTGTATTGGGGTGGAACAATTTGGTGTGCATAGTGCGAGGATAATGTGTTGGTAATATTTTAAGTAAGGATGTATATAGGTGGGCGTGTGGGTATTAAAACGAGTAAGGACAGTAATGTTCATATCTATAGGAACTATACAACAGTAGAGAAGCAAACTTTGAAGACGCAAAAACCCGTATACACCGTAATAAAAAAATAACAACAGAACAGGTTGATAAGATGGAGGTTATTTTAAGTAAATAAGAATGTTTAAATTCTGATATGGGACACACTAAACCACCTGGTCTAGACGGTTTTACAGTAGAAGTGTATAAAATGTTCTTCAATGAATTCCATGAAGCTCTTATACATTCTCTTAACAAAGCGTTAGAGGTAGGACAAATACAAATGTATTACATTTTGTTTCCCAGAGACGAGGCTTAATTTATTGTATCCCAAAAGACGGAAAGATGATTCGACACTCTGTCCTGAAGACGACGAACAATTCCTGAAGGAAACATTTGTTACTAAAGATATATTTGCTGAATGTTCTGGATTAAGATTAAATTTAGGAAAACCCCATGTAGTTTGGCTAGGGGCAAAGCGGGGTTGTGGGGAAGAATACTTGAAGAAAAGAATACATTTTAGAATCACATAGGAAAATGTAACCTTGGTATCACATATGATCTGGTTTGGTTTAGTTTGGTTTGGTATTGTTTTACCTCCTATCAACAGCTGTGGTCATTTAAGGACGGCCTCCCCTGTGTGCAAGATGCATGCGTGTGTGTTTTGGGAAGCTGCGATATGTTAGTGTTTGTCTCCTTGTGATAGCGCGGAACTGATGCCGACTTTATAGTGCTACCTTACTGAAGCATTTTACAAATGTACTATGAAAAGTATGTTTTCTATTTGTAATTCTTCCTTGCTCAGCAAAAGAAGCAAATTCTTATCTAAACTAGAAAAAATGCTTAATATACTATAATCATTTAGTACGTATGTCATGTACATGTATGTTTTGCTATTCTATTCTATAATATGCTCTGCTATATATGTAGGTATGCCATATATACTATGCTAAGCTATGCCATGTATGTGTATGTATGTATACTTTGCTATGAGATGTATGCATGCTATGATTTGCTGTTATATGTATGCTATTATATGTATGCATGTATGATATACTATGTGTGTATGTATGCTATTATATGTATATATATATACGCTATTATATGTATGCATGTATGCTGTTATATGTATGTATGTATGTATGCTGTTATATGCAAGTATGTATGTATGATGTTATATGTTTGTATGCTATTTTAAGTATGTATGTTATTTTATGTATGTATACTATTACTATATATATGTATGCACGTTTGCTGTTATATGTATGCATGTAACTTGTTATATGTTTGCATGTATGCTGTTATATATATACATGTATGCTATTATATGTATATATGTATGATATTATATGTATGTATGTATGTTTTATATGTATGCATGTATGCTGTTATATGTATGTATGCTGTTATATGTATACATGTATGCATGTATGCTATTATATGCAAGTATGTATGTTTGCTGTTATATGTATGTATTTTATTATATGTATTATGTTATTTTATGTATGCATTTATGCTATTATATATATGTATGCTGTTATATGTATGCAAGTATGCTATTATATGTATGCATGTTTGCTGTTATATGTATCTATAATATATGTATGCACGATAGTATGTGTATGCATGCTATGCCAAGTATTATATATGTTTGCTATTATATGTATTTATGATATAATATGTATGTACGATATCACATGCATGCATGCTATGATTTGCTATGCTATGCCTAGTATGTATGCTTTGTATGTATATATTTGCTTTAAAATGCATCCTTCTATCCAGTTGGTCTGCCATTATAAAATGTACCTGAACATTTCGTGCGTAACAGGATGTCAATGTGTGTCTGGAGTGAATAAAACTTGAAATCTTGAAACTACCGAAGACACCCAGCAGTACAGTCCGCCCGTTCACATTATACTGATAACGGGCGAACCAGTCGAGCAGGAGTAGAAACTACCACTTTAACAGACTATGGTATGTCTCGGCAAGGAGACAGAACCCAAAGCCTCCCTCAAAGGGGCGAACGCTCAACCAAATGCCAAAAGTGAGGCATTGTCAAGGGAGACATTAGGAAGAGGAAACATATATGATCTGAATCAGGAGGATGTTACATTACAAAACTTTGAAGAAAAATTTGAAGCTGTTAAAAACTATTAAATGACTGGTCATTTAGAAATTCTAGTTACATAGAAAAAGTCACATTTTAAGTCTTCATAAGCGTTTGATTTCAATTTGTTGAGAAATCAACAATGATTTTTCCAGACCACCAACAGTTTCTCATACATACCTATCAAATTTTAGTGACTGTTTCAAAATTTTAAAGTCAACCCGATGTTTCAGGATGGAACAGACATTTAGACTATATTTCGATATATCTACATGTACCCCGTCTTTCAATGTGGGAGATAACGGAAGTGTCCAGAGAAAATCTACGTTGTCGGGCGGGTGACGGGGATCGAATAATTGATTAAGAAGAGCGCGCTATCCACTGTGCCACCCCAACCGCATCCTCGATATCCAGAGATTGCGCTCACTTTCGCTCTCTACAGAGATATTATTTAAATCACAACTTTAAATGGTGTCTTACCGACTTTGGATACAGCTTTTCTTGTGTTATTCTGAAACAGCAAATATCAGAGAAAGCAAAGCTACGCTCCTTTCAGATTGGCTTTTTTCTATTGAAGTAGACTTTGTATTTGCGAACATGTCCTTATTTTTCATTCTATATTTGTATTACTATTTTTTACTTTAAGACATCTTCAAGAAAATACATACCATTTATGTTCATGCTGGCAGGCATAACGGTGAAACAGTCACTAGAAAAACGATGTAAGGAAGTACTTTCTAATGTAAGTATGTGAAAAGAATGGCAAAAGTGTTCCAAAGATATGTAAAAATTCAACAAAGGGTAAAAGTATCTATAAAACCTCAAACTATGTAACACGCTTTCCTATTATTCTGAAAATATTGGACTTAAACCGTGAAAGATTAACTTTTCATTTCATCTCAATTGCACTCTTTCAATAAAGGCAGTCAAACGGATAAGTAATATTTACCTATTTCGCCCACTATTGGAGCCTCTACAACTCAAACACCGTTGTAAGTGAATAATTTTCATCATAACAGTTTTTATTTTACCAAAGAAACGTGTGTTTCAAATAAGTATTAAATCTATTTTGCCAAATATTTCCTTTAAACAATTACTGTTACTACTTATAACACGTTGAAACTAATTATAGTGTTACATTGTTCGATCTATTTATAGCGAAGCTTTACACGTTTACATGTACGGGAAAATCTTTTTCTCCAAAAAAACTTTAAACTAATATTTGAGATTAAAATGTCTTGAAAGTCATCGAAGCTTTTTTGGTTTATTTGGTTCAACATCTCAATAGCAAAGGTCGTATTAAGACGGAAGCAGTAGGAACGAAAATAATACAGGTCCAAAGTGTTGCAATGAGGGGAGCAAACAGTTATTTGTATTTATTCTTTAATATGATATATGGAAGATAACCCCGAATCGACGCGCTTCACGATCACTTGGAATAAAGCAGGCCGATTTTTGTCCCGAACCTGCACATGGTCATACAATGGGTTCTTGACCTTTCAGGGTGTAGTAGACAGTCAGCATCACAATCTGCCCTGATAAGATTGGCAATGTTGAGTAACTGTTAATAAACTATTATATCACAGATAACAGCACCAACATGAACAGATAAACAGACCACAGCCGTGTACTATATGTCGAGAGAGTAGAATTCCTTAGCGTTGTTACGTAACACCTTCGTCCTATCCTGGTCTGATAACGTGACGATTAGCTTGTCAAACAACTCGTACACATCGTTAAATGAGGCCGAAGCCAGAGTACAGACTGGCCAATCTGATCCAAACATCACTCTGTCCACACCAAAACACGACAAGATGTGCTGAAATAAAACAATTTATAATAAACAATACATTTAAAACATCATTATTTTCTGTACAGGACCACATCAATATATAGATATATCGAATATACAATAAGATCGATTTAAAAAAAGTCTCAAAGCTTTTATAAGAAAGTGTTTTCAAAACGAAGGTAAATCGCGCCAATATTGTGTTTCACAATTCCAGCCAAGAAATAAGTTAATCAGTCATTTTTTGTAGAAACTGAATACTTCTTCGCTTAGTAACTGGTCCTAAATCATCATGACAAAAACCTAGAGAAAAAATGGCGTCCTCTTTAAACACTATTGGAGGATGGCATGATGAAAAAGACAAACTCATCAACAAATGGAACAACAAATTTCAAAACATCTATATTGTTCAATAACTGATCAAACTTCTTATGTCAACATTCTGAATCAGCACTTGTCAAAGATTGGAAAAATCGTTTTTCTATTTATCTTTTTCATCATTAGCAATTTGAAAAATGTTTCACGACTACCTGTATAGGTGCTCAATTGTATTTGTTTCTTTACTTTGATACACATTCAAAATTTAATATAAATTATAGAAAATGAAAAATTAGAACTTTGGGAATGTAATTACATTACCTTAACGTACGGTACGAAATCATCAGGTTGCCACAGATTCCAGTCAGCCTCTGTTACAAGGCCGGATCTGGAAGTGAAGGCCATGTGTGGCGTTACAATAGGTCACGCATTTGTCAGTCTACGTCAGTGTAACAGTACGTCGTATTCGTGTCACAATATGTTTTGTTAAGTAAGTCCCAGGTAGACATGCAAAATATTGAAGATATGGTTAGAATAATTGCGAGTGTTACACAAGTTGACGTTTAGCTAAATTAGACACAGATATAGGTATATGCATTCACATATACATTAGCGATAGTTTTGAAATAATGACATATTGGATCACAATAAGTCAGATTTAATTATATATCAAATACAGGGTAAAATAATGCACATATAGTCAGTTTTGTTACAGGATCGGATCTGAGTATGAAGGTCATATAGGGTTACAATTTGTCAAAAATATGTAACAAAAAGTGACTTGTTATAAACGTTATAATAAGGCTCTGGTAGAGTTGCAACATATAGCAGATACATTGTAGGAAAAAAGTTAAGCCAAAGAGATTTAACAAGAAGTCAAAGATGAATATGCAAAAGGTCACATATACAATGTATTGTCACATAAAAATTCAGACAAGTCACATATACAATGTATTGTCACATAAAAATCAGACAAGTCACATATGCAATGTATTGTCACACAAAAATCAGACAAGTCACATATACAATGTATTGTCACATAAAAATCAGACAAGTCACATATACAATGTATTGTCACATAAAAATCACAAAAGATCTTACAGTAAGTCATATCTATGGTGACATTACGTCATATATAGGCTAAGATAAATCAAGGTCTTTACTATAAGCCACATACATGAAAAGTGTTATAAAAAGTCAAAGTGAGGGTTATAATCATTTTAACATATATTGTTAAAGAGTAACAGAAATCGTTATACACTTTGTAATAATTAATCGAAAACTCCTGTATAGAGTAACAATAAGCCACATATTTGCTAAACGTCATGTGTTGGTCATAATAAAACAAGGGTAACTCACTGAGAGCGCTATACCTTGGTACAGTTATTGAAATATGAATAATAATGTAACCAGTCAATAAGCCACATATCGGGAAACCAATTAATATAAACCTTTAACTTGGTTGATTAAATGTTGATGAGGAAAGACTAACCGAGATACTGAAGAGGTAACACGTTTCAAAAGATTGACTTACATTTTGCAGTATATATTTTCACTTTGCTTGGCTATTGCGGCCATGTCCAATTTCCATTGGTCTATGTTCTGGTCTTTGATGTACGGTTTGGCAATATGATCAACCACCATCTTAAGTCTGAAATCGAAATTTAAAAAAATATATCCATGTCGTTTGCCAAATAAACTAAAATCTGAACATTCGGATGCGTTTTTTTCGAGAGACATTTGCTGGTCCTTTCAAACATATGTTAAAGAGAATAAGAATGTAATACACAATGTTGCTCTGTCTAAATTTTGTCTGTTGTTTCTATGGGTATATCAAAACTTGATACCATATAACAGTATTATAAACCTGTTATAATGGCTGTATTAAATGATCTTCGTTAGGCGCAGGATACGATAATCAATGGCTTCCTGCAACCAAAAAACGTCTTTAGCTAAATAAAGCGATGTTTTATAGCGGTAAAGGATCAACCTTATCATAGAACATATCCAGGCATTATGTTTGAAAGTTGCTTTCGAAGTTCCTGTTGTACTCAAGGCCATCAACAAAGGCGGCTTTTATAGCTAAAGATGATTTCCCATAGACTTCTAACAACTGTACGTACATTTTACCTTACTTATACCTTCACATTTTCAAATTAGTTAACCAAGCTTTCGGTATGGGTGCCTATTTGTTTGTGAACATAAACAAATCATGAAGATTGGACTGCGAACAGTGTCAAACATACAATATTTACTGGGACATCCGAGACTAATCAAAACACATTGCAGGTGCTGTACCTGTACAAGTGAGGGACCAAGGAACGTAACTCACCTTGGGAATTTAGCCACAACCCGCGGTATGTATGTAAGGAGATGCGGCCTACAAAGGAAACGGTGAAAATAAGGTTAGTAACGATGGCCTACATCATGCATCAACGATGACCTACATAATGTTGTAGCAGACGTAACGTCATTCTGTTGCGTTTTTTTGTTTTGTTTCTAACAACAGAGTATTCATGGTATGACACCGCAGGTTGGTGTGTGCTTTATATTGGTAATGGTAAAATATATTGTGAAAATAAATCACTGATATTGTTTATCATAATTTTTAACATACAAAACTATTTCTCGACCTTTTGTGCGAGGTGGGAATTTTGCTTTTGCTGTGAACATACGTAAAGTACAAATGCTATCCAACGTTTTATACCCTTTTGTAGGAAAACGCGAAAAATTGAAGAAAAACATACTTGAACATTATCTGGAAATAGTCGTATGTATTATATATTTCGTAAAATAAATATATTCCCGTTAATGTTTCAGGAGGGTTAGCGTACAAATCAAAATATATCCTCCAAGAGACAAAAATATTAGTTTGCATAATTACCTCAGAAGCAGGTCAAATGTCAGACCGAGTTCGTCTAAGACAGCCAGACCCTTATGTACGTCATCACGTGTGATCCATGTGGGGTCTTCCATATCAAGTATGTGTCGCACACCCTTAAAAACCGGGTTCTTACATAGGTCTGTTAGGGTTTCACGTACCTATTGACAATACAAGTATTTAATTGTCAAGAAATTTTAAGAAGAAAGAAAACTAGCAATGTCCAAGGTTCTGTATATAATTCGGATTTTAACATACAAAACAAGAAAAACACTTTTTTCTTAATATTCAAGAATAAATTTTGTAAAGCTTTTCTCATCTTAAAACGTATATTATTGACTCTTGTCTTCGGGATCTAGAGAGTTTGCTATTTGATTTTGAAATAACATCATCTTTGAAGCAATAGTTTCCAGACTTTATATATTTTGCCAAATGGGAAAGATGTGTTGTCCAATAAGAAAGACTGAAAGTTACATTTGGGTCCGTTAGATCAACACCAGCAACAACGCCTTTAATTTCCGGATGTGACGTCGCCTGCTCCATAACCCATTCTGGGGAAGACAATTGTCATACACTTCAGCCTTTTTAGCAGTTGTGAGCTATTTGTTACAAATATTATCCTTATTAAGTAATGTTTCACAACATACATGTAGTGTTATGTTTTCAATGAAAGACGTCATTAAATAAGAAATAACAATTGAAATCCCATATAATATCGCTTGATAAATGCTACATTATCTTGTATGCATGTATAAATATTAAACACCACAATACAGCAAGATCATGATTGAAATCGGAAACGTTTGGTATATCAATATACGGAAATATTATTGATAACGAGGACTCCGTTAAGTATGACATGCACAGTTCTGTTGAATGTCCACGTCCAGGCAAGACAAAAAGGAAAAGACACTGGACTACTCTTGTATATAAATACATGTACCACAACTTACTTGCTTCGTCTGGATTTCCATTTAGACACTGTACAAACACTCCATATTTGACCGGAGTATCCTTCAGATTGTTCACGTATTCCCCTGCCGTAACTCTCCGAAATATAGGACCTTCCTCCAAAGTTGGCCATGGATATTTAAACTTCTGCAAGTCCCAAATATCTAAAATAACAAACAGTTTTGATATTGTAATAATCTTTTTGTGATTTAACATCTGTCGAACGAAGATGCAGTTTGCACGCGCATGTTCGGGTAAAGAGATCTGCTGTTTAATCCCGCTGCATGTCGGAAAGGCAAATAATGGGGGCCCCAGCAGAATTGCGGTGGTGTCTCCTTTGTACCCGTCTTCATAAAACTTTAGCTGTTGCGTGGACTTTAAACCCCTAACAAACAAAATTATCAGTTACTCATCAGGCTGCTTATGACTAATTATGAAATGATGAGACTGCTTGAGACACCCCGTAATGAGAGACTGCTTGTGACACCCCGTAATGATGAGACTGCTTGAGACACCCCGTAATGAGAGACTGCCTGAGACACCCCGTAATGATGAGACTGCTTGAGACACCCCCTAAGGACAGACTGCTTGAGACACCCCGTAAAGACGAGACTGCTTGAGACACCCCGTAATTATGAGACTGCTTGAGACACCCCGTAAGGACGAAACTGCTCGAGACACCACGTAATGATGAGACTGCTTGAGACCCCCCGTAATGAGAGACTGCTTGTGACCCCCCGTAATGATGAGACTGCTTGAGACACCCCCTAAGGACAGACTGCTTGAGACACCCCGTAAAGACGAGACTGCTTGAGACACCCCGTAATGCCGAGACTGCTTGAGACCCCACGTAATGATGAGACTGCTTGAGACACCCCCTAATGACAGACTGCTTGAGACACCCCGTAATGACAGACTGCTTGAGACACCCCGTAATGACGAGACTGCTTGAGACACCACGTAATGATTAGACTGCTTGAGACACCCCGTAATGAGAGACTGATTGAGACACCCCGTAATGATGAGACTGCTTGAGACCCCCCGTAATGAGAGACTGCTTGAGACCCCCCGTAATGATGAGACTGCTGGAGACACCCCGTAATGATGAGACTTCTTGAGACACCCCGTAATGAGAGACTGCTTGAGATACCCCGTAATGATGAGACTGCTTGAGACACCCCCTAATGACAGACTGCTTGAGACCCCCCGTAATGACAGACTGCTTGAGACACCCCGTAATGAGGAGACTGCTTGAGACACCACGTAATGATGAGACTGCTTGAGACCCCCCGTAATGAGAGACTGATTGAGACACCTCGTAATGATGAGACTGCTTGAGACACCCCGTAATGATGAGACTTCTTGAGACACCCCGTAATGAGAGACTGCTTGAGACACTCCGTAATGATGAGACTGCTTGAGACACCCCGTAATGACAGACTGCTTGAGACACCCCGTAATGACGAGACTGCTTGAGACCCCCCGTAATGAGAGACTGCTTGAGACCCCCCGTAATGATGAGACTGCTGGAGACACCCCGTAATGATGAGACTTCTTGAGACACCCCGTAATGAGAGACTGCTTGAGATACCCCGTAATGATGAGACTGCTTGAGACACCCCGTAATGCGAGACTGCTTGAGACACCCCGTAATGCGAGACTGCTTGAGACACCCCGTAATGAGAGACTGCTTGGGACACCCCGTAATGACGAGACTGCTTGAGACACCACGTAATGATGAGACTGTTTGAGACCCCCCGTAATGAGAGACTGCTTGAGACTTGCCGTAATGACGAGACTGCTTGAGCCACCCCGTAATGACGAGACTGCTTGAGACACCACGTAATGATGAGCCTGCTTGAGACACCCCGTAATGAGAGACTGCTTGTGACACCCCGTAGTGATGAGACTGCTTGAGACACCCCGTAATGAGAGGCTGCTTGAGACACCCCGTAATGATGAGACTACTGGAGACACCCCGTAATGATGAGACAGCTTGAGACACCCCGTAATGAGAGACTGCTTGAGATACCCCGTAATGATGAGACTGCTTGAGACACCCCGAAATGATGAGACTGCTTGAGACGACCCGTAATGAGAGACTGCTTGAGAAACCCCGTAATGATGAGACTGCTTGAGACACCCCCTAATGACAGACTGCTTGAGACCCCCCGTAATGACAGACTGCTTGAGACACCCCGTAATGACGAGACTGATTGAGACACCCCGTAATGATGAGACTGCTTGAGACGACCCGTAATGAGAGACTGCTTGAGACACCCCGTAATGACGAGACTGCATGAGACACCACGTAATGATGAGACTGCTTGAGACCCCCCCTAATGACAGACTGCTTGAGACACCCCGTAATGAGAGACTGATTGAGACACCCCGTAATGATGAGCCTGCTTGAGACACCCCGTAATGAGAGACTGCTTTAGACACCCCGTAATGATGAGACTGCTTGAGACACCCCGAAATGATGAGACTGCTTGAGACGACCCGTAATGAGAGACTGCTTGAGAAACCCCGTAATGATGAGACTGCTTGAGACACCCCGTAATGATAAGACTGCTTGAGACACCCCGTAATGAGAGACTGATTGAGACCCCTCGTAATGATGAGACTGCTTGAGACACCCCGTAATGCGAGACTGCTTGAGACACCCCGTAATGCGAGACTGCTTGAGACACCCCGTAATACGAGACTGCTTGAGACACCCCGTAATGAGAGACTGATTGAGACCCCTCGTAATGATGAGACTGCTTGAGACACCCCGTAATGAGAGACTGCTTGAGACTTGCCGTAATGACGAGACTGCTTGAGACACCCCGTAATGACGAGACTGCTTGAGACACCACGTAATGATGAGACTGCTTGAGACACCCCGTAATGGGAGACTGCTTGAGACACCCCGTCATGATGAGACTGCTTGAGACACCCCGTAATGAGAGACTGCTTTAGACACCCCGTAATGATGAGACTGCTTGAGACACCCCGTAATGATGAACCTGCTTGAGACACCCCGTAATGAGAGACTGCTTTAGACACCCCGTAATGATGAGACTGCTTGAGACACCCCGTAATGAGAGACTGCTTGAAACACCCCGTAATGATGAGACTGCTTGTGTGGATTTATTATTCTTGAGACTGATTGTGACAAAAACGTCATTTACTGAACTTAGCTGTTGATACGACGTTAAACAAAATCAAACTAAACCTTCCCTTTTTATTATCCTCTGTACAGAGAGTGCCTCATTTTTCCGACATTAAATCAATGGGTGAATAAGACAGGGATACTTTTGCATATTAGGCATTCATCTGTGATTGAACTGATAATTTAATAAAACTGCCACAGCAGCTATTATTTGAAATATTAATAAATACATTGATCATATTGTAAATATGCTAGATTAATTGATACTGAAGAGAAACTCGTCGCAATATTGATCAGACGGAGTACATGTACGAATGTGTGTGGTGTAGTAACACCCATTGATTTTATTATTCAAAGTGACAAAAATCAATAAAACCACCTTATTCAATATCTAGTATTCAGATTTAAGACTGAAAAGTATTTGGAACTAGAGCCTCTATTTCTAAACAAGGAAAATGAAGAATTTTTAGCACACGGACTCCTTTGGGCCCTGCCCCCTACAGTCCTTGGGGGTGGGGCTGGCTGAAAATGTTCAAAGTACCAAACTGTCAACTCAAGGTTATAATTCCAATCAAGTTATCAACATGTAATATCCAAAGTATCATTTGCCAATATAAACCATAATAAACCCCCCCCCCCCCTCCCCAGGGGTAAACGTAAGACCCTAGGATCATATAATTCACAATTTTGGAAGTGCACCTTATAAAACCCTTCCATCTATGAAGAGTATTTAATTCTACCATATCTGGGTCTTGAGAAGTCGATTTTTGAAATTTTCGTCAGTTCGATCCTTTTTGGCCCCACCCTTCAGCCCTTGGGGGTCAGTCAGGGCTGATTTGTGCATATCATCAAAATGCTATCCAATACTGATAATGCTAACAAAGTTTGAATTAATTCGCATGGAAATTAAACAAATGCTGGTCCAACATTAGCCCCTGAAATTGGTTCAGGGGTTTTGGAGAAAACGTTGGAAATGTAAATTGTTTACGACGACGGACGAAAGTTCTTGTTCTTTATTAACTTTAAGTCTTGCGACTTATCAGTGTAAACATATATTAAACAGGATATGTACATATGTACAAAAAGCCACATTGGTCACAGGAGAATGAACAATACACACATACAAACTGTCATATATCTGATCGGCGCTTATTTGCCCCTATCAGATACTTTCCAAGATTACATAATTCTTTAATATTCTGTGTATTGAGTAATTGAACAAGCTTATATACACTAGGGTTATTTCTATAGTAACATTTTAAATACTTCCTTCTTAAATCTGTATATCTTGTGCAAACTAAAACAAAATGAAACTCGTCTTGAGTTAAACCGTTTTGAGTTATACTTTCTTAGATATTCTAACATATTTCCCTGATGAAGCATGTATTCACGCTTTAACTTAATTTCAATTTTTGTATAACAGCTCTTACATCGGATGAGGTTTTCCCGATTTTCAGATGATTTACATAAATTAAAAGTAGAGAGAGCAATCTTGTATTCTCTGAACCTTTGCTTACATTGATAATTGAACCAAGGCTTATCTTCTGTCACCGTTTTCTTATCTCTTACATGTTCTGTTACAGTTTTACAACAATAAGGAGATACTCATTTTTTTTTACATATTCTGAAAACTTATTTACAACGTTATTGATACCCCCTTCGCTAAGATCCGAGTCATTACATATATCTAATAAGTCAGCAGAATTAACTAGCAGTGTTTCTTTGATCGACTGTTTTTCGTTCTCATTTCATTTAAAGGTAGTTCTATACGGTTTAGGCTCTACGTTAATATGTTCTTGTACGGCGGGAAACAACAATGGCAATGAGAATGATACTGGAGAGTGGTCAGAAAAATGATTAAAAACTCCAGACTCAAACTGTGCTATGGTCTTTAACATAGTACCAGGGACTAAATCATAATCAATAAGACTGGCTCCATTGTTACTGAAAAATGTATAATGACCATTACCATCACCAGCATGTCTGCCATTCAAAATTTTAAGACCA